GCGACCTAGGCTAAATCCACTTATTAATATACTGAACTCTTGATTCCTTATCACTGAAAGGAAGGTTATGATGGGTATATATATGTTGACCTTGGAGACAAAACTCATTTAATTTTTGTATTCAAGTAGGTTTGGAGACTAGAAGTAGATCTTGTGTAAGAGTTGTATTCACCTTATTTCGTTTAAGGTTATGAAAAACTGATAGTTCAAGTTTCCCACAATCATACGAGCAGGCTTCACATTTCTACGAGGTCTTGGCGGGGACATCAGGGATGTCCTCAGGCACCTCAGCAGCCAGTATTCGCTGAATCTTCCCGATTTAATCACCATTCTTTATCACATCTCAATTGCCTATTCTCCACGACTCACCGATCTAAACTGGTACATTTAAGTGATACAGGACTAGTTTACATCTGATTGCTTTTTTGGAATTCGTCAACATCATATGGCTTCATCTTACCATCGTGCCCATTTCAGCCGTCACCAAATGTAGCATGGGTTTCGGTGACATAATAGCCAATTCTTCTGGTGCCACTGCCGGCGGCCACAGCAGCCATACGAACAGTCACACCAACAGCGGCAGCAACAGCAGCAACCACAGCAGCAGCAACAGCAACATCAGCAGCAACAACAACAGTGGTATCGGCCCCGGCCATGGGATGACCAATGGGCTGAGCGGCCTTGGCGGACCTGGAGCCAGCGGTGGGATAGGCGGAGGTGGCGGCGGTAGTTGTGGCGGCAGTGCAGGCGCCACTGGAGTCGTCTCACGTGAAGTGATGCGCGCTTATCTGGCAGACAGACGGGATCAGGTGCTTGTGATTTTACACGCAAAAGTGGCTCAAAAATCATACGGCACTGAGAAGCGGTGAGCAATTTTTTGTTATCCTCAATTCCCATCACGTCTAAAAATGTTAAAAATTAAAAACTTATTTGCCCTATCTCGCCTAAGGCAATATGGAATTTTTGAAACTATTAATATTTAGGAATTACTGATAGGTTCGAAGCTTTCTCATATCGAAATAAGTGACATTGTCGATTTTAATACCAAATAGCTGTTTGACCCATCGACAGTACCACCATAAAATGTGTCCTGGCTCGCCTTGAAATTCGCATTTACTCTTAACATACTGACACGGGCACTATCAAGACGATGCGCACCAAGGCTTTTATTTAAGTTATTATTAATTTATTAGCGATATTTCCGAAACATTTAAATTTTTAAAGTTTGCATCCCCATTTTCATAGATCTTGCTCCTACAATTGATGGAAATTTAGATATAACTATTTATGAGGATGCGAATCGCCATGCCTTGTTTAGCTGACCAAAGACCTGATAATTATGCAGCTGATTTTGCAAATAACTTTAGCTTACTCTTTAAAAAGATTAAATTAAACTTATTTACATTTATAGCTGCCATTTCATACGAAAATCCGATTGGAATATATTTATGTTTATTATGGATTTGGTTCTTCTGGAGCCAGGGTTACACATTTTAAATAGCATTAGTGCCAGTTATGGATGGCATTTTCTGAGGAACAGATGGTCGAATCCTTTCTATCCAAACCATCGATGCTTCATTTTTTAAATATACACTACTTACTAAGTGGTGTATTCTGTTTGTGTAGGTTTCAAAAGGTTCACTAGATTCGGTCTCTCACGATGGGAGATTCAATTGCAGGCTGTTCAACCACCAATCTTACGTAATTTGAAACCAACTTAATGGACTCATGTTCCGATCGAGGTATGCATCACCGAGAAAAAACCATTAGGATTTGTGCTTCACGTTTGATCTCCTTATCTTTATCACTTCCATATTTGACTGGCTCACTATGGCATGATTCATATTGGTGAGCAGTGCAGACCTAGCTCATAGGTCTGACCAGCAACCACGGTGATATGAAAGAGTACATTAGCGCTATACTTGACTTTTGGGCAGACTCGAGCATTCTCTCCAATTTGCTAAGACCGTACTAACTACTATGGTTTCTGGGATCATGCGACCACCGGTGTTCTGGCCTTTACGCAAAATCTCCGTATTTTTGATGCTACTCTCCTTGGATGGTCCATCGTTGCCCATAGATCGAAATGAGTCTACTCGAGGGGGAACTCTGAAAAATCCGGGCATTTTTGCTTGTGTAGTGAGGTTGAATAGACAGGGATAAAATATTCTTGACAATCTAGACATTTTCACTATCCACTAAGTCTTTAAGGAGGATTTATAATGGTTGGCAAAGGGTTGGTTTTCATTTCTAAGTAGGCTTTCGGGACTACCAGTAAATCTTGAATAAGAATCATGTTCACCCTATTTTCATTTAAGGTGATAAAGAACTTGTAGTTGAATTTTCCCAGAATAATATGATATGCCTCATATTTTCATTGAATTTTACACAGTCTTGCTTGCTTATGCATAGTTTGCTGACGTGAGTGCTCAAAAACGGAGTAGTCAGCTAAATTATGCCACCACTTCTGACCAAGTTATGTAGAAACATAACTTGGGGCAATGAAAATGTGACCTACCAAATTCTAATAGAAAAGCGAATTCCTACCCATACTATCGGGCTTATGGCCTTCTTGTAGCCAAAGCCCAGGCCAGACTTAGTCGGAGCAAACTTCCGAGTACTTTTTGATTCTGCCATACCTCACCGTCTGTTTCTCCTGACTCTGCCCTCCACATCTTTGGCTTGAGGACAGACAACATTGCTGCTGGCATAAATCAGGACTTATTTAGCTCTGTCGTCACCTTTGGTCTTGATGTGGTTTGCAGATAAAAAATATTCGCCATCGTCTTTTGCTTTTGTATCGTAAGAGTGCGGGTTGAGAGGGTTGACCCGAATTTTTACCGATCTCTGTCGGCGTACTCCAACACTAGCCATCATATTGCCACGATAGAGTAAATACTTTGATCGCCATAATCAGTCTAAAACAGCCGTTGTTGATTTCTTTTTTTACCTGATTTTTTACCTGACTACTTTTTGCGACCATCGGAGTCAATTGATCAACAAGAAAAACGTGAAAACCAGGAGCAACTTGTAGATCATCACGTTTATTCACGCGCAGGCCTCTTCTGTCTACTGATTCGTTTCTGTGTTACCTTTCAAAGTCGAGACTCGGTAATACTTTGAAAATAGACAATTCATAGGAGAGAACGGTTATGTAGAAGCAAGTTTTTAAAATCGTAGATATAATGACTAAGATGTTCTGGCCTCTAGTTTGATTTCAGTCTCCTTTGGATGTATGGAAATGGTTTGACCTCGTTTTCGCAACTACCTCGTTTTGTCAGGGGGATCCCCTTGGATGCACCTCCGATGTCCTCTGCCGTAGTAGTTATGATAATTTTCAGCGTTGGATTGTGGAATTGGTACATTCCCAGACGTTTCACTGGCAGTGTAGTCGGCATCGTGAGTAAGTCTTGCCATTCTTAGCGCCAAGCTAATACTCGTCAAAGAGACAAGTGAAATCAATACCTTGACCAACTTTCCGCGGAACGGCTGTGCTATCACTCCTCTCATGGTACATGAACCTACTAACCCCCATCGTATCTCACTCATAAGGGAAATCCTAGTTTCTGCATTTCAGCCTACAATATAAAGTTGAAAGTTCCTCCAAAGCGTTTGCTTTATCCTTAACATAGCTAGCGAGCCAATATAAACAAGTGGTAACGCAACCGTTCCGCAGAAAGTTGCTCAAGGGTTTGACTACACTTTTCTCTTTGACTAGTTGTGCCTTGGTGCTAAGAATGGCAGGACTCACTGATGGTGCCTATTACTTTGCCAGTGAATCGTCTTGGAATTTTCCAAGTCCACGTTCCGATGCTGGAAATGATCACTACTTCTGAGAAAGTGCTTCCAACGAAATATTCCTGAAAATATGGCCAAGTTGCGAAAACGAGATCAGACCACTTTCATACCAGCTTTGTTAAATTTGCTTTTTCTGAGACCTTTGAGAAAGTGGTTATCACGAACCCCTTGGCAGCCCAGAATTTGTTAATACCGGTTAGAAACACGTCGCTTTAGCGTTTTGAGTGAATTTTTTTGGCGAAATAGCCTCGCCAAAAAGCGTCATAAAAGTATTCCTTGTTCTACAGTACGAGAAGTTGTCAACACAGTCATCACCGGAACGGCTCAATTCGCCGTCTTTGAGGGGCTATTTTCACGTGACAGCTCTTCACTTTAGAGCAGCTGATTACTGACAACTGAACCACTCACGATGCATGGAAGTAAATGTTTTACGCTGTTTATGCCTGTTATTTAATTATTTTTTTGACCTTTTCATTCAAAGCTAACATAAATGTCTTTTTTTCCAGCTTCTTCTGCCCACCGCCTTGTGTCTACCTGCGCGGTGAAGGCTGGTCCCTGAAACAGCAGGCCCTTTACGAGGCGGATGCACGCATCTCTGGACAGACCGCCAACTCCACTTCTGCATACCACCAGCTCCAACGACCCACTAGTAGCCTTCTTGCTCAGACCGGTCAACTTTCCTCTGACGTGCCTCAGGTGAGAGTCAAGGTCGCTCTGATGCATGTTTTTCTTTTGTTTTTTCCTGACGATATTAATGAGATCAATTGTTGATACTGACGTAGGGATCTATCAGGAACAAGAAACCTTTGCTTTTGAAGGGTTATTTCACTGTAATTTAGTCATACTATAACTCTGAAATCCCGTTTTGACTCGTGCTTAAGATATAACTTCACAGTTCGCAATTGATGGATGCATTTGCATGGGTTAACATTGAGGCTTGCTTCGGATCATGTTGGGCTACAGCTCTCGGCAAATGAAAAGTTAGATTAAATAGACTGAACACAACTAAGATATTTGATTTACTAGTAGTCTCGAAAACGTACTCATTTATTAAAAAATCAAATGTAATATAAGAACCTTTCGACCCTGTCGTTCCAACCGCACCAACCCCAATGGGGATTGAAACTGAGTAAAAACTGACTACTACACTGCCACGAATGGCCAATGGGGCCCGAGGCAGATGCGACTCATGACGAGCCAGGCCCTTCAAAAATCACATTCTATAGGGGGATTTTTGAAGATTTTTTAATAGACGACAACGTTACTTCTCTTCTATCAATGATTCATGAATAGGAGCTTAGTCACCCTAACTTGTTCAAGGGAAAGGAACATACTAAAGACTCTGGGTATAAACACCAAGGTCATGTGTCTTCTATTTCGATCGCAGTATCGTTTTGCTGTATAGAATTTATTTGAATCTCGTAATTTTTTGTGTTGTCAGGACAACTAAAAAGAACGTACCTTGTTTGATGCCCTCTTTTTGCACTGAAAATTGTTATGACTATTATGGCAGGCGACGCCGAGCAAGATACGTCCTTCGAGGTTGTCCCGATAACACGAACAAGTTCTGCCAACGAGGTTAGACCAATTCTCTAATCAGGACTGCTTCACTCCATGTGGTCATTTATGGAGCTCAACAGGAAGTCAGATTCCGTGGCAGTAGTGATTATTGTTGCTTTACAAAATGCACGTTCCTTTTCTCATCTAATATAGGCATAGTCACCCATATGGCCGACTTGGTCAGTCTCAACTAGAATGTGGTGGTCCGCCCACAGAGTCTTCAACGCGTATAATGCAATATTTCTTTTGATGATATCTTATTATTGGGAGAAGATTCAACTACCAGTCCTTCATACCCTTAGGCGAAATAGAGGGAATACAGATCTTATCTCAGATCTTTTGTTAATCTCGAAAATTTTCTTGAGACAAAAAATAAGTAATGTAGTCATTTGCTAAAGCAAATACAACTTTGCTTCGTCGATAATCCCACCACATAACTGTGATATGGGAAGGGCCTAGTCTTCCTTTAAATTTACTTATGCCCTGGGACCCAAGGGCAATCGTGCCAATGTGGTGTAATGACTAGTGTATCGAGATTATACGATGCACCACCACAATCCGGGTTCGAGTCCCACTATGGATGCTGACGAAACTTAAGCGAGGTCGAAACTGCAGTCCACCCTGGATGAAAATATCTTTTGGGAAGCAAGGCCATGCGAACTTCAATGGAAACATGAGGCTTATTCATGTCTGTGATAAAATTTAACTACCAGTCTTTCATCACCTTAAAGAGAATAGGATGATTTCAGCTCTTACATCAGATCTACTAGTGGTCTCAAAACTTACCTAAATAAAAATTGATTGTTTGAATTTGCGTTACATTGTGATTTCATTTTATTATTTTCATAGGTTGTGGCCTTTATGGGTATCGGGGGTACAACGAGCGCTCAAGAAATGGTCCAGTTGAATTTAGATGCTGGGCGTGATTATTCTGCTGCCAAAACCTTATTCATTTCAGACTCGGACAAGCGCAAGCACTTCATGCTTACAGTAAAAATGTTCTATTCAAACGGGAAGGATGTTGGACAATTTTATTCTAGAAGAATAAAGGTTATCTCGAAGCCTAGCAAAAAGAAGCAGTCATTGAAGAATACTGACCGTAAGCACTCAGTTTTTTTCCCCTACATTTTCTCTGATTAACTTATGTTACTTAAATCATTTGAGTAGTTTATATGTCGTTTTGCTGCATATTATAAAGTGAATGGTATAGAACCAAGTAAATTAAATCTAGAACACAAAATACAGAACATCTAATAGATTTTGAAGTGGATAAATTAGAACAAAAATTCCAATAGTTTTAATCTAGAAACTATAACACATATTTTGAGCCTGTGAGTTTGAACTCAAGACTTCAAATCCACAATAGAATGTATAATGTGAAGCCTTTCCTTCACAATACATAATAGGCAGCTTATGGTATATTATTTACGAGTATGCCAAGAAATTTGTTTCGTGCACTCTTTCTTAATATTTTTACCTGTGGTATGTCTACGCGAACAAGTTGTTGGCAGAAGGCGGCTTACTCTTTACCGGACTATCATGCAGTTTACTAGGTTCCACTTTTGTCTAAACCTATACTAAAAGAATGGAACTCATGTGTGCATTTTTGTGTCTGTATATGAGTGTATGAGTGTGTATACCTATGTTTTATGTTCCCCCGTGTATTTTTATCTATTTATCTGTGTATATGCGTATGTGCTTGAATGCCACTATAATAGTCATCATATAATGGGCTAATTATGCAATGTATTTATCTGGCAGCTTGCCCTTTGTGTCCAACATTTACCAGTCTATTCTTTGGTGCATACTTCGGATCCCGAACACTATCTTGGAATAGTTTTAGGCTCCTGTTGCTCCTATATGTACCTTCGTTCTTTCATTGTAATCTGTCCATCATGTTCTAGACATCTCTTATTATTATACTCCATCTCTCTCATTTTTATACTTTCCCACTTTGTGTTCGTTAAGCCCCTTCTTATCCGCTTTGCTCATTTATCCTCCTTTATCCTCTCTCTCTAATCAAGAGTCTACATTTCCTTTCTTTTTACCTCTATCCCTCGCATTTAAAGTCTGCATTGCCTCCGGCACCAAGATTGCCTTATTTAATCGGCTGCGCTCACAAACAGTCTCAACGCGCTACCTTCACGTGGAGCAGGGTAGCTTTCACGCCAGCTCCAGTCGTTGGGGTGCATTTACAATTCATTTGCTGGCTGACGATGAGTCGGAGGCTGAGGAATTCACTGTCCAAGACGGCTTCATTCACTACGGACATACCGTGAAGTTGGTTTGCTCCGAAACGGGCATGGCGTTGCCAAGACTGGTATGTTACTTATGAGTCACCTTAAACACTTAATCGTTCCCTTTGTGACTCAAAATGTAGAGGCGTATTTGTGACGAATTTAGGAAACACTTATTCCCAAAATTTACAATTATGCGGTATGCTCGATTTCTTCACGAAGCATTACACGTGAATTTTCACATGAATTTCTTTCCTCGGCCATATCACGAGGATTAACTAGTTACCCATCGTGGAAATACTCTGAATTGAACAATTCTAATTGAATAGGCACTCCTTTTTACTCAGCTTAAGTAGGTTTCAACCTTATGCAATCTAAGGTGAATACAGCTCTGGTAGTTTCGAAACATACTTAATATGAATATAGCTAGCCTTGAAATATTTGTCTACTCTGTGACCCATAGCGGCCATGGCATTATGGCGTTGCAGTAAAATATCAAAACAAAATGCTGAGCCAACTGGATTTGATTTCTGTCAGCGGTAATGGTGATACCCAGGCTAGGTCGAAACTGCAATTAAGTCGACTCTAGATGAAAATACCTTTAGGAGGCGAGGATTAGTATCATGGGGTATTTTCATATCCTTTTGGGAAAATTCATTGCCTTTCATATTCTCTCCCTCTACATTATTTTATTATGGGTAATGAGGTTGATTGATAAGATTGATTGCCTTTGTATCCATGTGATTATTCTACCTGGCCTTAATGAACTCAAAGTTTCCTAATATGTCTAATTCCCACCATAGCACTTCCAAAATCTCTTATTGTGAATTGACCTATTTTATACTATTTTACACTGTTTCTGTGTAGATCTTGCGCAAGGTTGACAAGACTACAGTGCTGCTGGATGCCGACGACCCCGTGAGCCAGCTTCATAAATGTGCTTTCCATTTAAAGGATACGGATCGCATGTACTTGTGTCTGTCGCAAGACAAGATCATCCAGCACCAGGCTGTGCCATGCGATGACGGTCCTGGCAATCGAGAAACCCTGAATGACTCTGCTGCCTGGACCATCATTAGTACTGATAAAGCCGAGTACCGCTGGTTTGAAGCTAGCTCTCTCCGCGTTGCAGGAGACTCCCTAACTGCGCCACACCCCACTCTTCTCTCTGCCTCATCTTCCTCCACCTCTTCCACTTCTTCCACTTCCTCTTCCTCCTCATCCGCCTCTGTCTCCTCCTCTTCGTCCGCCCCATCTGTCCCCGCAATCGGCCATCAGCAAACACTGCCGGTCCAATCCTCCCATCATCAGCACCACCATCAGTCCACAGTTAGTTTCGTGGTGCCTCAGCCCACTGGGCTACCTGTAACCCCGGTTCCACTGGTGCGCGACTTGCGTGTCAACGGCGGAGGCGATGTGGCAATGGTGGAGCTGGCGGGAGAAAACTTCAGTCCCAGCCAGCAGGTCTGGTTCGGTGATGTTCCAGCGCAGACATTCTATCGTTGCGAAGAGTTAATGCTTTGTTTTGTGCCCGATATTGCAGAGTTTCATCGCGAATGGACGCATGTACAGGAGCCACTTGAGGTGGGACTTCCTCTTTCTCTATACTCCCTCATTTAACAACCTTTTAGCCACTAATTATCAAGCATTTCCCAAACACAAAATTAGTGCTAGATTTCGTTCGAGATCTATCAAATAGGGCTTATTGGACTGACTTTATAGGAAAGAAATTTGGGATTACTCTCGAACTTATGTGCGCTTTGTGCTTCAGAGTTGACAATTGGGAATGATTGGAAGCATCAATCGTGGCGTTATTCGGAGTACAGAAGCAAAAAATTGCTTTTAATTGCATCAAGATAATTAGGCAAGGGCTTGGTCAAGTAAATTGAAAATTCTTTGGCCCACTAGTTCTGAACGATAGGATTGGTGTGTGCGTTCAGATTCTGCTTTTAACCATTTGTCCATTTATTACAGTACCACTATATATTCACTGTGAGGGTATCAGTAATTCTTAGTAGCACAATAAATAATAATATATAATTCAATTAC